TTTTAATTTAACTTTATTTTCACGAATGCCTAAATTTCAGAAGGGGTGAGCACATTATTAACACCCTCAAATTTATTTCAAGAATAAAATCAAGTTTTCGATTTTGAAAATAACTTCAAAGTAGAAAAAAAAATATGTTTTTTTTTCTCAAATAATTTTTGATTTTTAACTTTATTTTCATGAATGCCTAAATTTCAGAAGGGGTGAGCACATTATTAACACCCTCAAATCTATTTCAAGAATAAAATCAAGTTTTTGATTTCAAAAATAACTTCAAAGTAGGAAAAAAAATAGATTTTTCCTTTCTTAAATAACCAACTTAACTAGACTTTATTTTCCTGAATGTCTAAATTTCAGAAGAGGTGAAGCACATAATTCTCCCCCTCAATCAAATTTCGGAAGAAAATAAGGTTTTCAATTTCAAAAATAACTTCAAAATTGAAAAAAAAAAATTTCTGTAATAATTTTTAATTTTATTTTATTTTCTTGAATTTCTAAATTTCAGAAGGAGCGATCATATTATTCGCACCCTCAATTATTTCAAGAGTAAAATCAAGTTTTCGATTTCTAAAATAACTTTAAAGTAGAAAAAAATAGTTTTTTTTCCTTCTAAAATTGCCAATTTAACTTGACTTTATTTTCATAAATGTTTAAATTTCTGAAGTGGTGGCCACATTCTTTTCCCCCTCAATTAAATTCAAAAGAAAATAAGGTTTTCAATTTCAAAAAAAAAAGAAAATTTCAAAATTGAAAAAAAAAAGTCTTTTTTTCTAAATTAACTCTTTTTTTTTTCTTTCTTTAACTTGACTTAATTTTCACGAATGTTTAAATTTCAGGAGGACAGAAGTGCATTATTCGTCCCCTCAATTATTGCATGAGTCAAATAAAGTTTTCTATTTGAAAAATAGCTTCTAAATTATTTTTTTTTTTTAAAAAAAACTCTTTTGCTGTTATTTTAGTCGGAATTTACTTGACTTTATTTCCGCGAACGGGCCGCTGCGAAAAAGTGATATTTTGTTGTGATGTAAAAGTAGGCCCTCCAGCAGTTATCACCAAGAAAGACTTTAAAAAAGTAACGTGTACATTACTCAAAAAATAAATAAATAAACGAAACACCTTGAATGACTTTTGATATGATGATCGGATCTTCACGTTCTAGGACTCAATCTTAATAGTTCAAAGGGGTGACCTAAATATACAAATTAATTTAGTACAAGCACTATTGTAAATCCCGAAATCAGACATAAAAACGTATGTTCTCTAAACAAACATACTTTTTTCCCACGGATTCTGATTTATGATCCTCATAAGCATAAATTTGTTAAAGACTTTTTGTATTATCATTAATAATCGCATTTATTATGATAATCTAAAATATTACCTGAATTGAGACAAAAGAAGGTTAGTTTAATAATAAATTATGTATATAAAAGAAAACTTCAGAAATACTTAGCTAATATTTAATAAAGAACCTCAAAACAAAGAAAAAATTATGCTAAAGTTTTTGACTCTCGAATGGTAAATAAATGTGTAATTTACCATTTCGCTAAAAATAAGTATTTTAAAAAGTCCAAATGCTAAACAGCAGATTCAGGAACAATTAAAATGACTTTCTTATTCAAACATTATTTAATAAAATTTCAAAAAAAAATTTTAAAAAAAATAATTTGATTTTACACTTTTTTCAATGTGAATCTTAACTAATTTCCTTCTTTAAATATTTAAATTTTTTAAAATACAAATTATCGAGTCTATTTTGGTATTATAGATGTAAGAATAAAAATATCTTTTTGTCTTGGAATATTTAAATGATAATTTTCGCATTTTCAAAAGATAAATATAAAGAGAAGAACTAAAACCACATTTCTTAATTATGCATATAAGTTATTAGCAACTTTTTTATAATTTCAAACACGATTGTAACGTAAAATTATCCCTTCTTTTAATTTTTTCTAATGAAAAATTAGTAGGGAAAAATACAAGCACAAATTATTATAATTTTTTACTAGATTATTTACAATATAATTATTACAGGGATGTAAACTTCTTCACTTTCAATATATTTCCAAAATATTCCACTTTCGACAAAAGTTTTTATAAATTAGTAGCGAATTAAATAGTAAAATTTGTAAAATAAAGAAGATTGCACCTGATATTTAAAAGTATCCACAAGACTGTTCATTCGTTCGTTGTTTGAGAATTGGGCATCTGAGGCCAAAACAGGTCCTTTTCATGATGAAGTGATGGAAACATACATGAAGACTTGATACACTGGGGGAGAAGAGTCATGAAGTTTAAAAAAAATGACACGTTGCCATCATGTCGAGAAAATGAAATTGTAGGAGAAGGAAAAACTGGAAGGTGACTGGAAATGAGTTGAGAATAATCAACAAAAAATGAAGTCCGCTGTACTTTAGCTTAAAATAAACATCTCGCTGTTTGAAAGATTACTAATTTCGATGAGATAATTGGCATCACCAGTCTTCGCTACTAATTAAACCCAAAGGAACCTATCGGCCGACAGTGGAGTTTAGTTTCGCAAGACCTCTACTTGTGAAACATGCTTCAACCAAATGGGTTCAAACGCAAATGACTGCCATTACTGTTTGATCGGCCAGTCCTAAATGCTACTACCATGTGGTCGATACAATCATTACGTTCTTTGGTCAAAGTAAAACAATTTACTACTGCCAGCTTACACGGTGTTTTCACGTTGACTGGATCTGGAAATTATTACATCTCGATGTTCTGTCTTTAAACATTGATCTGTGAACTATGTCGCAGTCCGATGTACTATGCCAGAATATAAGCCGACGTCGATTACTAAATTTCGGAAATTTGCACCAGAATCGAAGTATCATGAATTAAAAAAGGTTGCTTATAGAATAATTTCAATATTCGGAACAACGTACTTATGTGAATCATTTTATTCCACTTTAAAATTCGCGAAATCCAAACATACAAGAATTACTGAGAAGTTCTGTCGCCAATTATTCACCAAATTTTAAGGAATTATCAAGAAGTAAAATAAATGTGTTTAATTTTTAATATTTAAATGTAATACACATATTTTGTACTTTATGTTTTCAATAAATATAAATTATGTAAAAAAAAATTTTTTTTTAATACCTTTTTTGCGTTCCTTTTAAATACATATTTAATTGCGGCTCTCGAAAAATTTCAAATTTAAAAAAATGGCTCGATTATCAAGGAGCGTGGCTACCCCTATACTATGCAGTCCGATAACACTTCCGTCCACGCAGGATGAAAGGAATCAGATCTCGATATGAATTGTAAACTTAATTCTTAAAAATAGAATAGCTGAATTCTAGATGAAATTATCATTCAAAACTAAAAAATGCTTACCGAGAAAACGATAAAAATTTATTAATAGTCAACATAAATGATATTATTTCAAGTAAATCGGATGATTCTTTATTGTTGTTTTCCAAATTATATAGATTCAGAAATATATACTATTCTATAACTATTACAGTTCTGTATGTTCTGAAATCACATTTATTAATTGGAATAAACTAAGCAATGCTGACTTCTCTTTAATTTATAATGAATTGAAGACAAAAAAAATTTTGTTTTTTTTTTACCGTAATACACACATCTATAGTAGTATGCGATCACGAAATCGGAAGTTATCGGTTGCAAGCTTGTTAATATTAGAAAGGTAAAAATTATTGAGAAATAGATCTTCAATTGTTTGGCATGTTCTGTTTCAAAAAGATTTACCAATGCTCTGGTTAGTTTTTTCAAGTACTTCTGCCTTTTCCTTAGGGAAAGTTTGCTTCTTATTTGCCACTTAGAAAATGCGTTCGACTCTGCCAATGATTATGATATAACAAAATGAAACTTAAAAAATTAATGCCTGATATTTTCTGTCTCCGCTAGAGGCCGTCCTCAAGCATTGCGATCGCGAAATGAGAAAATGTTCTTGAAATGTTGTTTGCGTCCTGTTTCGAAAATAGATTTACTGATGTTTTAGATTTCGTTGTCAAGTTCTTCAGTTTTTTTTCTTAGAGTTTTCTTCCTTCTCGTTTTCTATTTACTGGTGGTAAGCAAACGTCCCACCTATGCAGTTATTCTGATGAAACTGAATGAAAACTGCGAATTTCCGCCCCACTAGCTGGCGTATTCACACGTTGCGATCACGAATAGATATGTGCTCAAGAATAAAAAAAATTTTGAATCAATAAAATTTACGCGTTTTATTTTAAAACAAGAGAGCAAGAAACTAAATTATTTAATATTTTTCTTCTATTTGCGATCAAAATGGGCTACAGATGTCGTACAGCAGAACGCTCTACCTATAGCAATACTTCGCAACTTTGCATGCTTTCATCATTAACGTGTGGAAAGTCATAGAAGAAGGAAGTACGTTAGTTTCTGTCGTGATTTTCAAACAAATTAAAATCTCTTAAATTGCCATATAGAATTATAAACTATATTTAGTATAGTTCTAAAAAAATGTCAATGAAATTTAAAAAAGTACTTTTCACAATGAAATTCAGAAAATATTAAGTATAGATAGGGGAAAATATCGTAGTGCATTCCTATGCAACTGAAAAGACGAGGAGAGGAAAAGGGTGAGTGTCAAAACATGGAAAGGTCTTCTTCCCAGATGACGTATTCGAGCGCTGCTATCGCTATACTATGAAATATGTCCATAAAATATGTGGTTAAAGAATCAAAAAATTTTCTAAAATTGGAAATTCCATTCATCTCTAGGGTAAAAAACATTCTATTCGAACGTTTGAAACGTTTTTACGAGCGCTTATGTTCACATTCTTCCTCAACGACAACAAAGATGTCAATCATGTGCAGTGAGAATGGCTCTTCAAAAAAAAAAAAAAAAAGCCATTTCCCTGCGTCACGTGATTTGTGAATATTAGTCAAAGTTGTTGTGTTTGCTTAAAAAAAGTAACCATTTGTAATTTCGAAAACGTTGCCACAAAAATAAACAAAAAAGTTTTAAAAGTTTTGATTGGTTTAGAAATTTTCGTTAAAATCTTTGCGTTTGTTTTGAAGTTTTGAATAACGAAAATCTATTCAAAATGAAAATTTTAAAATAAAGTATTTTATAAATTTTAAAGTAATCTCATAAATTATTTGTGTATTAATCGGTACGTAAGTATGGTGCTCTATTCATATTCATAAACATTAATATTTGTTTATTGTAGCTTTATAACCATCTTTTTGAAGTACTTGTTTGTTTGTTCGAGAACGCGGCAATTAAATTTTTAAGAAATTTTCTTCCGTAAATTTACTGTAATAATCATGCTTTAATATGCTTTATTAAAATGAACTGTTTCATAAATAATAAAAACTGCTACTTTTCGTAAACATACGAGCGAAACATTATACTTCTTTTATTCTACTAATATTATACACAGGCATAATTTTTTATAATAAAGCTATATTTTGTTTCCCATGAAAAATATGTTAAATTTTTAGTGCTTATTTTAATTTTTTTATTTTTTTAAAAACTCTGAAGGTGTTATGTGTCTTTTTGAGAAGTAGCAAAATTTTAATGAATGCTATATATTATAAATGATAATGTATGAAAATTATGAATGATACTTTTATATGAACCACAATGTAGGTATATTAAGAGTAATTTTTATGTATTATGGGAAATAACAGGATTTTAAAGGTCTAAGTTTTTTACTTTAATAATAACTAACCAGTGGATAAATTTGTTATTTGTTGTTTTTTTTCCTGACCAAACATACATTGTAAAGTAAACTTTCTAACAGTTTTATATCATGAATGATGTAACAGTGTTATGCTAGACTAAGGATTCTTTTTCTATTAAAAGCAAGGCCCCATTTAAAATATTACAAATCTTCAATTTTATGTTCTAGTTCATAAAAAATTAATATTTTATGATTGAAAAAAATTTAATTTGTGTTTGATTAAATAATAATTCATTAAAGACCCGGGGTAATTCACGATCACTCTGTTTGTGGGGTAAATAATGATCACCTAAGTTTTATTTTAAAAAAATAATTTTTTTCTAAATTTGAGACATGAACAAAAATGCTTGTACACTTTACTAAGGTATAACTACATTTACTTAATAATAGTTTTTTTGTTTAATCTAACAAAATAAGTATCTTTTAAACTGCATTCTGTATTTTCCATTTCAAAGATGGGTTTCAAAAAGTGCACATTTCTGCAAAGATCTCCCTCCTTCTCTTAATAATAAATAATTTAAGTTACTTTCTTTTTCTTTGATATGAAAATAGTGTAAGCTCTTGTTTAATTGTTTCACATCTACTGTAAACATTATAATTGATTATAGGAAACTAAATCAAATGTTGCCCCTACAGACGGGGTAATTATTGATCACTGGGGTAATTCCTGATCATTGTCATTTCTTTTCATAAATAGTATTCAAATAAGCTAATAAATAGCTAATTGTCTTTTCTTAAGTAACAGTTCATATTTATCAAGTGGAACGACTATAAAATATATATTAACTCAATTTAATCACAAAATTTGTTTTTAACCGTATGCTAGACAAGTGTGTTCCGATTTGTCGTACCTTGCTTCTATCTTAATTTTATGTGTGTACGTTGTTAGAATAATTTTTAAGTTTATAATTTAGCCTAATATTTATGTGGTGAGAAATTATAAGCCTAAAAAGGATACTAAGGTTCTAGAAAGCAAAATTAGTTCTAGTAATTAAAATTTCTTAATTAATAAATTTCTTTTACTGATTGAAAATGAATATTCCAGTGTGAGATCTGCTGCCAGAGCTGTTGACATACCTTACTTAACTTTACACTCTCCCTTAATGAAGTTACAAAATCCAGCAAAAGTAACGCATGTGAAAACTCTTTCTTATATTTCAGCAGAACATGAGAATGAGTTGGCTGCTTGCCTAAAATGTATGGCACGATGCAAAGATTTTTGGAAAATTTAAAGTGTTAACCTTTATTTTTGCTTTTTAAATAAATTGTTTTATTAGCTGCTTCAACACATATTTTTGGTTCATTTGTTTGATCTTGTTGTCTTATTTGTTAATTACCACTGTATAATTATTTTTAAACAGCCCCTTTATGATTAAAACTGGTGATCAGTAATTATCCCAGAAGTGATCAGGAATTACCCCAGAAAGGATCAAGAGAAGGGGTAATTCCTGATCACTAAAAATTTAAAATATTTTAAATTCTAATTAGATTTTCAAACAAAACAAGGTAGCCTAGAACTCATCTCATATACCCTCAAACGTCCAGTGAATGTTATAATTCTATCTTGAAAAGTTTTCTTACAAAATAGATGTTTGCATTTTTTGATCAAGAATTACCCCAGGTCACCCTATAACCAAAATTTCCACATCAATTTTCCTCAAAAAATTAAAATAATTAGATCAGCTAGAATGACACTTCAGTATAGGTGGAATAATAATCATTGAAGACTGAATAATATGAAATAACAAATAACTAGGACTGAGCGATGTTAAGATTGTAACAATGCTAAGATTTTAGCACATATTGTCACGCCACTAATATTTAGATGCATCGTGATGTTTCGGCACATTAATGTTTTACATTTATTACTACCTAAATTTGAATTTTTGCTTTTTTTGATTGATTGATCTATTAAAGCAATTGTGTTCTTGAAATAAATTCAATCTGAGCTAGACCTCTCTCCATCTTAAATTTAGTTCATTTCTGTCAATATTAAAAGAAAAAAGAATTCTTAAGAAAGTAAAACGAATCTTAGAATAAAAGTAAATTATTAACAAAATTTGTAATTAGTAAGTTACATTTTTTTAATTTTCTATCAAGATAATTATTTTTCAAGATTTAAAGATGTGGATGTTTGCAAAATAGCGGTTAAAAATCAATTAACGGCTGGATTGATTTTTAAAAAATCAGCAGGATTTGCACAATTAAAAGAAAAAACTTTCATAACTGTAAAATTCAACAACACTCCGATTCTCAATCACATTCGGATTCATCATATCAGCAAAATGTGAGTCACAATGTAATGAGGAAAGATAGCGATCATCGCCGCAACTATCACTGTACACTTACGGAGGAAAAAGCTCTTTGTGTGAGCTTGCAGACATCAATATCATATTTGCACTCACTTGATACCATCGTAGTTCTATTGGGGACAATGCTCAACGTCACATATCAGTGTTTTCATCATAGAAAAAAAATGGGTGAAATTTCAGAAAGTTAAGTGAGATTTCTATAAACTAAAAAAAAAAAAAAAGACAAATAGACTTGAAAAAAAAAAAATCTCTTTTATGATAATACATTTTTAACATCTTCCATTTTGTTAAAGCATTGAATATTTTTGTTGCATCATCATAAAAGATTTTGCCTTTACTAGGTGTTTGTCCATCTTACATTAGTGCATAAAAAATGTGAACGTCTTACATGAAAGAACCTTACCAACGTTAAACACGTGGTTGCAGAGAAATGTGTTCTGAAAGCGGTTACGTGGTTCGAAGGGGTTGTGTTCTGTTGTTCGAAAAAGGCTCTGAACAATACTGGTAAATAGGGAAGCGAGATAACAGGGCAAATGTTGAAAATAATGAAAGATCCAGAAAGATGAGTGAAACGGATTTTATTCTAAATGGCGTAATTCGAAGCTTTTTCCAAAATGCAAGAAATTTGCGAATTTTGAAACTGATTTATAGAATTCGCAAATTTCTCACAGTAATAATTTTTTAATCCGAGAAATAAAAAAAAATATGCGAGATTCCCGCTCTGTAGTGAAAACACTGCATATGTAGTCAACGATACATTGGGAAATATCATACACATTTCGATAAATCACAATTTCCGATGTTTCAAAAAATTGCCAATCCAAACATCAGATTGGCATTGACTACATAACATGAATATTTTCCGATGCATTGATTCATTGCTAAGTCCTACAAGTCATGTATCCAGATCACCACTTTTCAGAAGCTTCTATTTTTTTTTAACTCTTTAATAAACAATGTAGACAATTTTTACAAAGAAAAGAAACATTGTTTTATATTTGTGATCTGGTAAAAAATTTTTTTAAAAAGAAAGTTTTTTTTTTTTAATTACTAGCTGCTTCTCAGATAGCTTGCATCAAGTACACCAAAAGTGATGCAAANTAAACCATGGTTTAAACTGTCAAAAACTGTCACATGTCAAAAACCTGCCAACCCTGAAACAATGTAGACAATTTTAACAAAGAAAAGAAACATTGTTTTATATTTGTGATCTGGTAAAAATTTTTTTTAAAAAGAAAGTTTTTTTTTTTAATTACTAGCTGCTTCTCAGATAGCTTGCATCAAGTACACCAAAAGTGATGCAAAGACAAAAGAAGTTAAAGAATAACAAACTTATCTTTCCCATGAAGATAAATACATTTTTACTATCATCAGAAATTTTTTTTTATTGTTTTTGTCATTTCTGTCAGCATCATCAGTAATTTAATTTTTTATTCATATTTGATTTTGAGTTTAATAACTAACATATTTTCCAGCTATGGAGAGAAAAAGAATACCAGATACTGAGTGGATTGATGAAGTTTTTGATACAGAGTTTCTTCAAGCCAAGTAAATATAAAATTTTGTTTTTAAATTTTTGTTAGGAATAGTATTTGTGTTAGTAAATATGTACGCAAGTTTTTTGTTTTGTTGTTGTTTAAGCTAACAATTTATCTGAACTTTGTTTAGTTTGTATGGTACACATCATGCGCACTGATTAAGAGCTAATAAAAACCATTTCTAACCATTTCTAAAAACCATTAAGAGCTAATAATCGCCATTTCTTACGCCTGAAAAGTAATTTTAGAAAAAATTTAGGCACATTGACAGATACTTAACATATTTTATTAATAAAATAGAACTTTTACAACTTATTTTACTCTCAAAATACACTTTTTACGAATCATAAAATTGGACTTGTCACTTATTTTATACTATAACGTGACACGATCACAAAACTTATATTTTCAATTTAAATCTTGAAATGCTCAGAATAGCAGATGCTTAGTAAACTTCATTTTATTATTGATTAGACTTTAAAAAAATGTTTGTTTGCACAAATCATATTTTTTAATAACTTATATATAATTTAATTATCCACAAAAAATCCTCAAGAGTCACTCTTGTCTCTCAAAATGGGAATTTCCCCCTGTTAATGATAAATTCAGTTTTAACAGAAATTCTGCTGTCTGCTCTCTGAAAACGATTTAAACTTGTTTTGTCATCAAGCATAATATTCCAGTCCAGTTGAGATTTAACACTCTAGCTAGTTAGGAGAAGGTTGAATTTTCAATTTAACATAAATTCAAAGTGGAAATAAAATGATGGTAAAATATATATTATCATCGAGCACAGAACTCCCGTTGAGACTTAACAATTCTAGTTAGTTGGAAAGTAATTGAAATCTTGATTGGATAAATTTCTTTTGGTTATAAATTTTGCTAGTAACCATCATGAAATGAGTGTTATTATCAGCTACAGAGCTTCAGTTAAAATATGTGAACTCTAGTTACTCTCAAAGAGGACAGATGATAATTTCCTTTGGCAATAATACAACAATAAATTCTACTTTTAGCATTCAGAAATCAACTAAAACTTGTTTTGTCATTCAGCACAGAACACCAATTTAAATGTGAGTACTTTCTAGCTAGTTGGAAAGTAATCAGAAGTTTTATTCATGATATATTTGGCGATGAAATTTTTTATTTTTGCCGATTTTATCTGTTGTATTTTAATAAAAAAATTTTTTTAAACAAATAATGTGTACAATGATTTTTAATTAAGATGTTTGTTATTTAATAATACATTTAAAAGTAGTTTTTTGAACTCTGAAAATAAACCTACCTAAATTATCATAATTCTTAATTTATGGAAATTAAAGCCTTCAAATTTAAAACCTCTCCAGAGGATTTTTCTGGCTTCACTACTTGCCCAAACCGCAGTGCTAACAAATATCTTCTGTGATGATTGCTTACAGATTAAGGGCCTATTGTTATAGAGCAAACTTTAAAGGTTTTCATGATCTTTCTCTCTATATGTTTAATAACTTAAAGGCAAAGTTTATAAAAATCGTGTTTTTTTTTTTTTTTAAATAGATTTTTTTTTTAATGAAAATACTTTTAATAATACAATAATTAGTCTTTGCTTCAAAAAAAAAAACAAGTTGGTTTAATCCAAAATGGAAAAGTTTAAATTATTTGGTATTTAAAAAATACTTAAAATCTTAATCAATAATAAGTAGAAAATGGCTACTTGCAAAATCCCAAATAACACTATTTTGATAAAAATGTTTTTTTGAATTTTTCGATTTAAAAGAATAATAATAAAATAAAAGATATTCATTGCACAATCTGCTCAATTCAAATTATAGTTGAAAAGGAATTAAAAAAAAGTTTTTTAATTGCTTCAATGTTGTATGAAATATTAATAAAGTGCCATTAAAAATGTCCGTTTGCCAGTAGATACTTTAGGGAATAAAAAGTTATGTAATAATTTTCCTCACCCTTTATTTTCGATTTATGCTTTTATTTAACAACATATTGTTGTCTCTTCCTCTAAGGAAAAAAAGGTTAAACTGTAATTTATTACATTTTAACCTGTTTTTTTTACCAGTTTTTTTTTCTCTTTTTTTTCCACAATTTTTATAACCGGACATACATATCATATTTCTTTAACCACTGATATCAATTAATTATTTTGTAAAATATTAACTATACATTTTTTATGTATAAATGTCTAAATAATTATCTAACATTTCAAGCATTTTTTATTTTAGTCATGAGAGGAGAGGAAAAAGGTCATCTGTAAGTATATTTTGCATTCTTTATTTTGGAGTAATTATGAATGTTACATATAATTAATTAAAAAGAACATATGACCACAATAAATGGTGTTACAACTGTGAGATCATTTCTTCTAACTTTTAAAACAGATTGCTTTCTGTTAGAGTAATAATAAATGTTACATATAATTTAAAAAAAACTCATGATCGCAATAAATCCTATTACAACTTATAGTTCATTTTTTCAAAATTTTAAAATATATATTACTTTCTTTAATAGTAGTGCCTTTTATTCTTAAGTCACTAATTTCCAGTGATTCTGTCTGCACACTCATTAAAAATGCCAAAAATCGTTGAGGAGTCACAAAATAAATGTTATGATGTTTTCTCTATGATAAAAGAATATAAATACCTTATAATGACCATAAGCCTTCACCTACCCTTTGAATTCATTTTTATGAAGCTCAACTGTATTTGAAAAATTATATGTTATGTATGATACTTTTTCATTAATCTCGTACAAATTAATTTATTATTGTTTAAGTATAAAATTTCTAAAATAATGTTTAGAAAATAAGAAAAATTTGTTTCATACGTAAATTTAAAGTATTAATTTCCTGATAAGGTTTGATTTGGAATTTATTACTATCTATAATTTCGTTACAAAATTAAGTTGAATTTGTTAATCTTTTCATTATTCTTTTTTATATAATTTTGTTTTTCAAATGATTGAAATTAGTTTGAATCATGTATTTCTAAATATATATGTATATATTTTTTCCTCTATCAATTTATTTTTATTTTTAGATTTTAAAGCAAGCAAAAATCCCAAACCTTGATATCTGTGATGTAAGTTAAAATTTTGTTCTTGTTAATTTATATGTTTATTATGTATTGTCATTGTATTTTAGTGAAGTCTAATAAATTATTAATTTCTATTTTTGTATAAATTTTTTTTAATTATTCTTTAATTTCCTAATGCTTTTACTGAATCATTTACATGGATTTATTGCCCTTTAATGTTATATGGTACGTTTTTAATTAGTACAAAAGCTGTTTATTATTAAATAATTTAAACAAAAGTTCAAGTTTTAAATTTATTTAGCAAGTTTTTTTTTACAGCAACAGATTTTCAAATGAATTTTTTTTTAAATTTCTTCATTTTGGTGAAGATTTTTATAAAAATATAACCGGAGAACTTTTGCTAAAAGACTTCGTTCGCAGATAAACCTTAAGAAGACGTCATACCACGTGAAGAACTGTGTATTGAAAATTCTTCTCCACTTCCATATAATTTAAAGTATAGAAAAAGTGAGTTCAAACGTACCTAGAGTAAGCCAGAAAATGAACTACTGAAAAAGAACTTTTTAAAATATCAAAATGAAAATTTTTTGTGAGAATATAACTTAGAATTAAACAATGGAGAAATTCTCTTTCAATAATTTTCTTGCATTTTGTTATATTAAAATTTTTTTTCTGCAATTAAAACTTCATGGCTTACTCTAGGTTAACCTGAACTCACTTTTTCTTTCTTTTAAATGCTAAATATGTAATGGAGGTGAACGAAAATTTATGGCAAAAAGTTTATACCGTGGCATGGCGTCTTCTTAAATCTATCAGTAATGTGCAGAGGGGTGAGAATACTCAGGTTAAACTCCTTGGTACTATAGGTATAATTCATTAGTAGTCAAAAACGCATAACTTCAAAGTATTCAAACTATACCCAATATACCTTTTGATTTTTAGTTATTTTTTAAAAATAACATAGGCCAACCTACCATTTTAATTGTTGCTTAGTTTCTTTAATCTTTTTTAATGTAGGATGAATATGATGTAAGGTATGGTAGAAAGAGTCAAAATCTTAAAAGAAGAGTTAGTTTTGCAGATACTTTTCAAGTCAAGTAGGTGCACTTATTATGTGTAGTTTTATTTATGAAGCATTATTTCATGGAATTTTTTTATCTATTTATTCATTCTTTTGTTTAAATCTGTTAGAATTTTAATTCAATATGTACCTTAATATTTGTTTCTTTTGGCAATAATTGTGTTCTTTGTCTTTTTTAGGGAATTAAATACTGGAAATATTTACGACATTCCTGGAAGAAATGGTAATTATTTTATTGTTATGATTGTGAAATTTATTCTTATGATATTTTATCGTCAAGTGGCTTCTTCCTCTGTGATCAAACTCAACAGTTCAATTGGGTAAATGATGAAGAATTAAATATTAGTTTAGTATAGAATATTAAATTAGTTTTTAATCATTTTCAGTCTTACCAAATAAACTGATGATGAATACTTATTGTATTCATCAATTTCTTTCCAAACATTTTAAATAAAATTTCTGACAAAATTATACCCATACATGTTAATCAGTTTTTAGATTTGTGAGAAATATCGTTATTTTTGATTAACTTGTGTCAAGAAAATTTTTCAGTATGATCCTAATCACTTTTTTTTAATCGTTTAATTTTTTTTAAGCACTGTTTAATTTAACAGGGTGCATAGCGTTTTTAAAAAGTGCTTAAAGGTGCTTATTTTTCATTTTCGTTTTTTAAAAGCCCTTAAAGGTGCTTTTTTCATTGGATATTTTTAAAAAGTGCTGAATCTTCCCTTTTTCAAAATGATATTTTTCGTTTTTGATTTTCGCTGCGAATTATGCAAAAGACTCAGTTCACACTGTTCTATTCAACGTTTTTTCAATTAATTCAACCCCAATCTATTTCGACGTATTGTCAGTCCGTAGCGTATGAAAACGCCATTCATTTTACATGATTTTTGGCAATTGTCAAAAACAATGCCATAAGGTTTCTTTTTTGACACGACGATTAAAACAAGATAAAACTGTCAATTGTCAAAAACTTTCCAACTCTACCTAATTATATTTTTTTAAAGTGCTTAAAAATATTTTTTGAGTGCTTGAAAAGTGCTTATTTATTGTTGAACAATTTGGCTACGTACCCTGTTTAATTTTAAAAATACATAATTTTAATTAATTATATATTTTATAATTAATTTTAAAAATACTTAAAAACAGACTTGTATTTCATTTTATTACCTTTTCCAAAGTTGTTAAATGCATTATTTTATTGTTAAAAATATTTGAGGAAAACCTTTGGGAGCCTTACTCTTAATCTGATAATAATTAAAAAAAAACATTTTCCCCAATCTCTTTTTTATAAATGCTATAGTATAATAAACTGAGATTGGCAGAAAAGAATGATGAAACAAAATTTATAAAACGAAAGTCAAATATTTAATTTATTGTCAGAGATAGCTAGGAAAAGCTCTTTTCAGTGTCTGGAATTGTCAGAGAAGAATGGAATTTTAGTCAAAACTGTTCAAAAATAAGGAAATCTATGGATCATCAGTTTGAAAGGCTGGCGAGTAAGCAGAGAGCGATGACACTCAGTCTGATAAATTTTGGCTTTGATTATGGCATAGAAGAATTTTTTTTTTTTCTGAAAAATAATTGGTGATACGTTTAAAATGTAAGTTAGGCTGAAAAAAAAGTTAGGCAAATGATATTAAAGAAAAAATTCAAATGATATTGTTTTTTTTTTTTTTTCTGTTTTTCTCACGTTTTTTCCATTTAGCAATTTCAGTTTAATTTTTTCTTAATATGTACCTATTATTCAATCTGTTATATATCTTTATTATTTTTGGGATGAATATAATAGTTTTTCCCTTTTTTTATTTATTATTTTTCTCCAATTTTCCAACTCTTATGTTTCTGAACCTTTGGCTTTTATTGTTATGCTATGTATTTTTCCAGTAAATACATAAATATATTGAAAATGGAGTTTTTCACAGGTAAACGGAATCAGGTAATTTTTCACAGGTAATCTACATTAAAAGAATAAAGATTTTTCCTCCATATTTTTATTTATTTATTTTTCTTCAAGACGGTAGGTAGGTACTTTATTTAGGTCGGACTAGAGCTACGCAATGGGCCATTGGCGACGGTCTGGTAAACATCCCCGAGGATGATCTGAAGACATACCATTGCAATTTTGATCCTCTGCAGAGGGTATGAGCAGGGGTGCTTTGGTAGCCCGACGACCTGTGTGTGAAGTCGAGCCCTTTGCACTAGAAACGATAATTGAGGACTGATGCCCCTCACCCTCAGTTCCTATGCAGGCTGATCAAAGTGGTCACTCACTCGCTGGCTGACCGCACCCAGTGATGCTTGGCTTCTGTGTTCTACTGGGAACCGTGTCTTTATGATCAGTCCACTGCGGGACTTTTCTGTAAAAAAGAAAAAATATAGATGGCCGCCTTTAATTGTTATTAATTTTTATGGGGGGGCAATTTTAATTAACTTGTTTTTATAATTAAGGTAGGATATAACAATTCAAGATTTTTACCTTTCTAGATTCTGCAGATTTTCACAGATTTTGGATAATCCAACCTTTACTGTAGTGAATAAATAATTTTTTTTTTATTAGTTTAAAAACTTAATTTTTATTTTTAGAAAATCAATTTTTTTTAAATCATTGGTTTATATAGATTTTTCGGTTAATTAAGATTGGTTGGTTCATTGATGTGCCAAATGTAGAATTTATTTTATTTTTTAAATATATTGTCCATAATCTTGGAAGAAAATCCATTTTATTTAATTTTAAAATTTAGTTTGCATTAAATATAATTTAAGTTTTTATTAAACGAAAATTGGTGTTAATTTTTTTTCTGTACCTTATTGTTTTAGATTTAATTGCAGTTTTCTAGCAACCAGATTTCAGATTTTTTTTGCAGCAATAGTAATCGGCTTACATCAGATTCTTCTTGGTTTTAAAACCAAATAACCAAAGCTCTAAGCTAACTTGGTTTGAAAATCATTACATTGTTAAGTTAACTTGTCTTCTGTATACATTTCAGTTATTCAGTCATAGATTTACCAGATTTAGATGCTGTTTTATTTAATATGTTTTTAACATTAAATATCACTAAATTGTTCAAAACACACGACTCATATGTTGGAATTAAGTATATTCTAAGCCTAGGATTCCCAATGTCAAGTAAATAAAATCCAAAAATTTACCATTAATTTCCTCATCCGCTTTCTGATACAGACTAATATAGGAATAAAAAGATAATACAGTAGGGAACCGATTATCCGGAACGATCGAGACCATAGCTATTCCGGATAACTGATTTTTCTGGTTTTCTGAGTTGCTACAAAAAGCCGTTTTTTTATTGTTAAACCCAACTAAAAAAAAAAAAGAGAAATATTTGGAAATAATCTTAAAAAGAAAAAAACGATGAAGTAATACACTAATGATTATTTCCAAAATGATGGTAAGGTAAATATCTTTGGAAAAAAAAAAAAGAAGAATCCTAAAATCTTATGAGGAAAAAAAACATGTTTTAAAAAAATGGCGGAAAATTTATAGAATTTCGTTAAGGTTTTCTGATTTCCGGATAACAGGTTCTGTACTGTAGATATGTTTGATATTTAGTCATCAAATAGTCACCGTTCTTCAGTGCATGCTTATATGATTGAAATAATAGAGTACAGTTGTTGCATAAATATCTTTTTGTAATAGTTTTTATAATTTTTTTTATAAGATGTTTATGTATATCTTTTTTCTTTATGATTTATTTTTAGCTGTAGAATCTTCGAAAGACTCTTCTTTCAGCATTCATTTTCCTAATTTCAACTCAGATAAGGAGGATAAAGAAAATGTTGATATAAATTCTTTTAGGTAAGCTTAATTTTCACTTTTTTTTATCTTCAAAATTTTAAAAGCAGTGATTCTCCTAGATCTTATAATGCCAGCTACAGTATTTACGTTTCCACAATCATTTTTACTAAATTTTTCTTTATTTAAAATAATATAAATGTCCCATTTATCTTTTTCAATGGCAGCACTCTGATTTATTATTCTTTAGCGACAGCTGTCTGAACCAACTGAAATCAAAATAACTTTTTTAAGTTTTTTTTTTCACATACTCTGTATGGTGAGGGTATTAAAAATTCTTGTAAAAAGGTTATAGATTAAATGGCTGAAAAGATAAAATAGAAAACAGAATTTAGAACAATTAAATTTATTTAAAGTATAGGGTAGAAACAAAGCGAGTGCCGCAAGGTCTGGCAGAACACATCAAGTTGAAAACTAAATATAAGTACTTAAGTTTTTAATGGAGAAATAATTTAAGTTATCTAAAGGTCAGAGATGGACTGCAGGTGTGAACAGTTTTGGGGGAACTGTTGACAGCTAAATTACAGTTAATCTTAAACAGGTGATGAAAGGATTTTCATACTTAAAAAAGCACAAGGTTATACCCAGAAGAAAAGGATACTTGGTTTAAGATGGTAACAATACAAAAGCAACATCAAAGTAAATCATTACAGGGTGCGTAGCGTTTTTAAAAAGTGTTTAAAGGTGCTTATTTTCGATTTTCATTTTTTAAAATCCCTTAAAGGTACTTTTTTCATAGGGTGTTTTTAAAAGGTGCATTTTCTCTTTTCCAAAACGAGATATTTTTTCTTTACGAATTACCGTATATTCCGGCGTATAACGCGCACTTTTAATACAAAAATAACATTGGAATTTACGGGTGCGCGGTATACGCCGAATATAAAAAATTATAGATTAAAAAAATTTAAATATGGAAAAATACTTTTATTTTAAAGAAATAGCATACCTTTACCTATATACTTCATTGATTTTCGTTATTACATAAATAGTTCATTATATTCGTCTTCCGCTATCAATTACAATTATTAAAATTTTTTTGTATTATAATTACAACTTATTGTATTATCTGTAAGGTGGGACCAAAACATGTCCCACTCTAAAAGGCTTTCTGGTTTTCTTACGCAACCTGGACGGATTTGCCAGATGTTTTTTACCCACAATTTAGCACCATTTCTGTCCATCCAGAATCACATTATTGCTCTTTCAATTCTAGCCCTCACATGCATGCCAAATTCTGTTTTTTCATTTTTTCAAAAGATAGGGAAAAATACTTTTTATTTACGATCTTGAAAGATGAGATATTGCACATGTACAATCCAAATTTTCGTGCGCGTTATACGAAGAGTATATCTTAAAATTTAAAAAAGTAATTAGAAATTACGGGTGCGCGTTATACGCCGGAGCGCGTTATGCGCCGGAATATACGGTATGTAGCTGTTGGTCTGTAGCTTATGAAAATGCCATTCGTTTTACATGTTTGATGAAATACTTACGGGTCCGCATGTGCGTATACTGAGCAGGATTAAGTGGGAAGGATTTTTGCCCTCTCATGTGCAACTCTGCTTCATTTTGCAAGAGATTCTCAATTTCAGGATTCAGTTAGTTTTGAATTGATAATTTAAAAATACTTCATATTTATAATAGGTAATAATTATCCTTACCCCAAAAATTTTGAGTTTTTGACAATTGTCAAAAACTATGTCAAAAGTTTTTTTTTTTTTTTTTTTGACATGACAGATAAAACCGTCAATTGTCAAAAAATAGTCAACTCTACCTAATTATGCTTTTTTTTTTAAAGTGCTTAAATTTTTTTTTGAGTGCTTGAAAAGTGCGTCAAAGGTGCTTATTTTTTGTTTAAAAATGTGGCTACGCACCTTGCATTGACTAACTAGGAAATGCCAAGGAACAATTTGTGAAATAAAATAAGAATATTGTTACATTTTCTTAATAAGAATTAAACTAAGAATATATATTAACCATTCAAAATAAAATTAATATTCTAATATACAATTATTTAAATAATAAGCAATTCTTTAAAATATATAAACCAAATATTGTGGAAGTAATATATAAAACAAAATGCAAAATGGCTTAGTTTATACAATCTGAATTACATTAAATAGGTAGTAATTAAATCACAACCATTATTCTTAATTAAAAATTATTAATTTAACAAAGATACACCATATTAAATAAACCTAATGATATTGAGTTCCAAATATTTAGCATATGTATGTTAATTTGCTAAGGTTATATGTAATAAAATATATTTATGTGATTAACAACAGGGTGCGTAGTGTTTTTAAAAAGTGCTTAAAGGTACTTATTTGTCATTTTCGTTTTTTAAAAGCCCTTAAAGGTGCTTTTTTCATTGGATGTTTTTAAAAAGTGCTTAATTCTCCCTTTTCCAAAATGAAATTTGTTTCTTTACAATCAATTGATATTATGCATATCAATTGTTATTATGCAAAAAGCGTGGTTTTCACATTGTTCTATTCAACATTTTCATAATTCATTGAACCACAATCTATTTCATCATACCATCGGTCCGTAGCGTCTGAAAGCGCCAATCATTGTATGAAATACTTGCTGGTTCAAATTCTGAGCTGGATTCGAGCATTCTCATGAGCAAGAGAGATAATCTTTTTAAATAATAGTTAAATTAATTATTTAAAATTTTGAATAAATTTTTTTATATAGGTAATTGTGTAAAGTAATTACAAATTTAAGACATTGAATGTATTTAAAATTGTGCATAAATTGTTCTTGTGGTGAATATAATCACGAAAAGAATTCTTTGCAGAAACTACTTATTTTATTATGATATGAACTTAAGAAAACTATTTTTCATTTTCTTAACATATATATATATTTGAAGAACTTTCAACAATATGAAGGGAAACAAATTATTAGTGCACATATCCTAATTATAATATTTTTTTAAAGTGCTTAAAAGGTATTTATTTTTTGTTGCAAAATTTGGCTGCGCATCCTGAACAAATATTCATATGTGGTATCAATACTACTACACTCTGTTTGTTGTATTAATATTTATCTTTCTTGCTTTGATTCTTCCTCTTGTAGCAAAAGATTTTTTTAAATTTTTTGATGTTTACATCTGGCTACTGAAATCTGCTTCCACCTTATTTTTTCTGAGTGACCACTTTTTTTTGTTGCTTTCTTTTTTGAAACTGCAACATGAGGAGTAAAAACAATGTGGCAGCTTGAATTAAATAAAAAAACCAATCATTTTCTCCCATATTTTTTTTTAAAAAAATAGTTTAATTATAAAAGTATATCAATTTAGAAAGAGACTCTTTAAAGTGGAATTTTTATTAAATTGCCCAAATTAAAATTTTGACCTTTCAAAATCCTTATTTATGATGGAAAGATTCACGTGGAAGAAGAATTCTTTGAAATTCACATATTTCCAAGTTAAAGTGTATACATTAAATGTATTTTGCCTCCTTAAATATTTTTTAATTAATAATCAAATCAGTCTTTTAAGCTTACGAGCTATTTAATATATCATTCTACTATTATATTCAGTTTATTTTTTAGAAGAGGGTCACTGAAAAAAAATATTGTAGCCTACGGTGTTGCAATAAATTTGTATTTTTACCCCTTCAGGATGGATAATTCATAAAAGCATTCATACAAAATCAGGATGGAAAAAAATAAAAAGCGATAACTAAAGGGGCTATGGCTTATTTAATGTACTTATTTAGCACTCGCTTTTATGAATGTTTGTTTAGTCGCATATCTAATTAATGTTTGTTCAAAGTATAACTATATAATTTTTATTTTGAGCTATAAGTAGTAGTGAATTTAAAAAAACAATATAATATAACCCCACCTGCAAATAAATTGTTAAACAATTAGTCAAGCTTGTGATTCTTCCTCTAATTCGTGGAATTCTGCGAATATCAAGACAGCTAATTCACAGATTTCTGCAAGGCAATAATTTATATTCAGAAAGAATTTTCTTAGAGTTTCGTTAATCTAAAATTTGAAATGCGTTACCAACGCATAATCTTGTTAATGATACTTTTGTTCTGCCCTTACCGGCACCCCTTTTTTTTTCTTCCTAAGTTCTCATTCACGTGCTATAATCACTTTTTTTTTCACAAATTTGTTTTAGAAAAATGAAAGTTTGGATAAACTTCAAAAACATAAGGGGAAAAAAATCCATAACTTTGGCAATAATTAATTAACTACCAAGGCAAACACAAAAGTATAAAATTGATAATCAAAAAAGTAATTTAGAATTGGCAAACATTTAAAAGATAGTTCACTGGAAAATATGGCTTTTTTTCTCTTTTTTTTAAAATTTATATTTTAATGAGTAATAATTTCTTTGCAAATTCGGAATTATAAGGGAAGACTTCAGTGTGATCTATTTACCCTCTTTTCTTTTTTTTTTGTTGCTACAAGTGGATTGAATTAATTTTTAATGTGATATTATGACATAGAAATTTTGAGTCCCGTATTTATGAAATTTATTTTTAAATGTGCTCGAAACAATTCAAAATTTGTGTATCAATCCATGTTATGATTTTTTTTTCTTTTGCAGTTAATTTAGTTGATTTTCTCATGGTTTTTAAAATTCCTATATTATGACGACAAAATTTGAATGACGCCTCTGAGTAATAAATTTTTATGTGATCATTTGCATAGTCACCATCGTAAATTTATGCTGCGTTTCGCGTGTTTTATTAGCTATTATTGCAACAAATTTTCTCAGTATTTTTTTTTTCTTTTCAAAGTTCTGTATTGTTTATAAATTAATATTAGGACACGCAAAATTAAATTTGTCATTTATAAGTCACTTTTTGACATAATACCACCTTTTTTTATCAACTTTTTCAGAGTTTTTGCTACTGATATCTACATGTATAAAATGAGCAAAAGGGAAAAAGGGAAGAGAAAGAAACGTTAGGATAATTTCTAGATAGAAAAAAAAATTAAGATAATTTATTAATTCAGCAATCACATGTCTGATTAGTTTATTTGCCAGTTTTATTTTTTTTATATCCTGATTGATAAGGTTTTATGCTGGCATGTATTTGACAGTCAGTGCAAAAGTGTTAAACATCTTATAACTTCGTTATTCTATAGAGCAATAAACACAGTATCAGTATATCTTAAAAATTGATAAAGAACAGGAGTTATGTCAAGTATTTGCTAAATATCTATAAAATATTTTCAAATTAAAAAATGTTTCAAGTTTTGCGTTCTTTGTCTTAGAAAAAGTTATATTATGTTGCAGATATTTAACTTCTTTTGTTTAAAAAATAATTTCATAAAGTTCTTATATCTTTGAACTACATTAGTTAAGGGCATGTTTTGGTTTAAGAAAAAAGAAAAATTGGAAAATCAAAATACAGTCAAACAGCGAACATATAGCGAACCTTCAAGGGACTGAAATTTTGGTTCACTATAACCGGGAGTTTACTATATCCGTTCCGCAAACAATTTTAACTAATGGCTCCTTCTTTTTATTATACATTATTTAAATAAATTACCAATAAAAAGAAATACAAAAATGACTGAAAAATAATACATAGTAACGAAAAATGTGTTAACTTGCTTTTATTTTTTATTACTCTTCGTCTTGTGTGCGAAAAAAAAATAGTAATCTTTAGCTGATGCAAGGAACAATTTGTCCATGCATCTGCCTGAATAAGCCTTTGTTTAGGGATGGAAAAGTGTGATGAAAGAAGCAAACAAGAAAAAATGCTTATCGCTACTTTACACTCTATAGATGGTTTTAAAAAAGTATTTATTTTGAAATAAGTATTTATTTTGTATAAGTATTTATTTAGAAGTAGACATTTCAAAATTATTTTTAAAAAAATTCTAAAAAATCAGTCGAAGACAGAAAAAAAATCATAATATCCAACTCTCTCACTTTTTTAGTTCAATATATCCACAAAAAATTACATTATACGTGTATAGAAAGGCACGGGACCGAAAATTTCGTTCACTGTATCCGGGAGTTTACTATAAACCGTGTTCGCTATAGCGGGGTTTGACTGTATTTAGCTATATAGTCTCTTAAGTTTTAATTGTTTATTTTATAGCAAAGTGTTGCTTATTTTTAAGTGTATTTTTAATTTATTTATTTTAAAAATAAATTATATATATTTCAGGATTGCTATGACTGAAACACATCAATCTATGAATCAAATTATAGTCCAGAGAGAAATAATGGCTGAAGATATGTCCCTATCTGAATCTGTTATAGTGTCTGAGGATTTGGATAAACTACCATTAAATAGTACAACTCTACCAAATGGTTTGAATAAACAGACTGATTTTTATGGTGAACAAGATATGAATCTGACACTATTGCCTGGAAACAATCTCCACCATTCAGAATTAAAAAATAACATTGAAGAAAATCAATATCCAACATGCACAATTGTTACTTCTGTCTCTTGCATGGCACATACGTTTCATTGTCCTGATTCAAAACATAATTGTTTACTCCAAGGAAGGTCTCATATAACACAGATTGAAGTACCTGCTGTTGATGATCATCTTTACCTTGAAAGTATCCCCATATATTCTAATGACCCAGATAAAGAAAATATATACCAAAAGAAGCTGTCAGCCATTGCAAGTGCTCAACAAGGTCAGAAAAAAAGCTTTAGAGTTGTTTCAGATGATGTAAATAATCTAAATACAAAATCACAAAAAGCTTTAAAACCAATTTTCATATCAGAAAATACCATAAGGCCTAGTGAAAAAGCGACTTTTACTCCAAAATGCTTAATGTCAGCTGGCCAAACCCAACTAGATGTGGAAGACATGGATCTGACCTGTGATGTTACCAGTATTACATCAACTCAAATCAAAAGCTTAACTGATCGGCAAACATACGGAACAACTAATAAAGGTGCAAGTAGAGAAGGCTCAAAGACGATGCATTTCCAATCTAATAACATGGATTTAACCTGCTTGTCTGTCAAATCTAAGAAATCTCTTGATTTAACAGGCTTTGACAAACTTAATTTGGATACAGTTTCAAATGAAATGGATATAACTTGTAATTTCGGAAGTATTTCTCGTATGGATTTTCAACCAGGAAATCCGTTAACAAAACCAAGTATTGCTAAATTTCTTGATCACGGTGAAAGCACAGTTCCTTATTCCCCAACTTTACCTATTCATTCTAAAAACATGGAATTTTCATGCATCGTTCCTTATGAATCTAGCGATCCCTCTGTTAATGATTTTTATGTATCTCGTGATTCTAAAGTGTCTCCATCAGATTCGATTATAAATACTCAGCAAACAAATGATACTTCGGGAAACAAGAAGAGTTTGATAGATATTTCTAGTAACAAACAGGCTTATCACTTTTCCCAGCTTTTTTCTGGTAGAGAAAATCATGATCACACACAAAGAAAATCTTGTACTATGGATGAGACTATTTGTTCTCCTAGAGTCACAAAAGATCTTTCAATTTTGAATAAAAAAAATTTGTCTGATGCAAATGATGAGATTTTAAACATTCTGAGTGGTGTTGAGCACTCAATTCATAAAGAAAATGATTGTTTAGTGGGTACTCTGCCCCCTTCAGCTTCTTCATCTAAAATTAGTTTTGCAGAAGAAATACTACAAGTTTCAAATAATTCCTTAAAACGACAATTGCTAACCACTGAACAAGGAAATCTGTCAACAAAACCAACTATTACAGTATTTCATGATTATGGTGAAAACACAGTTCCTTATTCCCCAACTTCACCTATTATTTCTAAAAGCATGGAATTTACATGCATGATTCCTTATAAATCAAGAAATCCTTCTGTTAATGGTTCTGAAGTGTCTCGATCAGATTCTATTCTAAATACTCAGCGAACAAATGATGCTTCGGGAAGCAAAAAGGGTTTGATGGATATTTCTAGTAACGAACAGGCATATCACTTTTCCCAGCTTTTTTCCGATAAAGAAAATTATAATCGCACACAAAGAAAATCTTGTGCTATGGATGAGACTATTTATTCTCCTAGAGTCACAAAAGATCTTTCAATTTTGAATAAAAAAAATTTGTCCTACGTGAATGATGGGATTTTAAACATTCAGAGTGGTGTTGAGCACTCGATTCTTAAAGAAAATGATTGTTTAGTGGGTACTCTGCCCCCTTCAGCTTCTTCATCTAAAATTAGTTTTGCAGAAGAAATACTACAAGTTTCAAATAATTCCTTAGAGCAACCATTGCTAACCACTGAACCAGGAAATCTGTTAACAAAGTCAACCATTACAGAAATTCATGATTATGATGAAAACACAGTTCCTTATTCTCAAGCATTAAATTATGATCGCACACAAAGAAAATCTTGTGCTATGGATGAGACTATTTGTTCTCCTAGAGTCACAGAAAGTTATGATCGCTCACAAAGAAAATCTTCTGCTATGGATGAGACTATTTGTCCTCCTAGAGTCACAGAAAATTATGATTGCACACAAAGAAAATCTTGTGCTATGGATGAGACTATTTGTCCTGGAGTCACAGAAAATAATGATCGCACACAAAGAAAATCTTGTACTATGGATGAGACTATTTGTTCTCCTAGAGTCACAGAAAATTATGATCGCCCACAAAGAGAATCTTGTGATATGGAAGAGACTATTTGTATTCCTAGCGTCACAAAAAATCTTTCAATTTTGAATGAAAAAAATTTGTCCTTTCCGAATGATGAGATTTTAAACATTCAGAGTGGTGTTGAGCACTCGATTCTTAAGGAAAATGGTCGTTTAGTGGGTACTCTGCCCCCTTCAGCTTCTTCATCTAACATTAATTCTGCAGAAGAAATACTACAAGTTTCAAATAATTCCTTAAAACGATCATTGCTAACCACTGAACAAGGAAATCTGTCAACAAAACCAACTATTACAGAATTTCATGATTATGGTGAAAACACAGTTCCTTATTCCCCCACTTTACCTATTAATTTTAAAAGCATGGAATTTACATGCATGGTTCCTTATGAATCAAGAAATCACTCTGTTAATGATTCCGAAGTGTCTCGATCAGATTCTATTCTAAATACTCAGCAAACAAATGATATTTCAGGAAACAAGAAGAGTTTGATGGATATTTCTAGTAACAAGCTGGCTTATCACTTTTCCCAGCTTTTTTCTGATAAAGAAAATTATAATCGCACACAAAGAAAATCTTGTGCTATGGATGAGACTATTTATCCCCCTAGAGTCGCAGAAAATTATGATCGCACACAAAGAAAATCTTGTTCTATGGATGAGACTATTTGTTCTCCTAGAGCCACAAAAAATCTTTCAATTTTGAATAAAAAAAATTTGTCCTATGTGAATGATGAGATTTTAAACATTCAAAGTGGTGTTGAGCACTCAATTCATAAAGAAAATGATTGTTTAGTGGGTACTCTGCCCCCTTCAGCTTCTTCATCTAAAATTAGTTCTGCAGAAGAAATACTACAAGTTTCAAATAATTCCTTAGAGCAACCATTGCTAACCACTGAACCAGGAAATCTGTTAACAAAGCTAACCATTACGGAATTTCATGATTATGATGAAAACACGATTCCTTATTCTCAAACATTGCCTCTTCATTCTAAGAACATGGAATTTACATGTGTTAATCCTTCTGAATCTAGTGCTCCCTCTGTTAATGATTCTGACACATATAAAGATGAAATTATTTTCCATGAGCAAACTAAGAATAAAGACGGAGAAACCTCCAAAATGAGTGAAAAACCTGAAAGTGTATATATTCTGCCTTCTTCAACCACTTCAACTAAAACTAGTTCTTCAAACCAATTACTAAAAGATTCAAAGAATTCTTTAAAGCGACCATTACCTTCAACGCCTGGTATTGTGTATTCAATTAGAAATATTAAGAAACATAAAGTTGGCCATGACGATAAGAAAAGCGATACTGAAAATCAAGATTTGGGATATAGTTTGAAAACATTAAAGCATCATGAACTAAAGGTTGGGATTCAGTCTGAAACTAATATTTCAGCCCCTCTTACAGTGAATAACAATTCTAACATGATTTCTTTACCAACCTTTATAAAACATTGTGTCACCCCTTCTGAAAATGAGCAAATTAACAATCATATAACACCTTTAGCTACTATTTTTTCAGAACTACCTTCTTCTATTTTCCAGAATATGTCTTTTAAAGAGGTAGGCTTATTTCACTATAGCCTTATTTTCTCTTCTCTTTAAATAAATAATTTTTATTAATATTTTACTTTTTTTTCTTATATATTCTCTTTTATTTTCCTTCAATAAAATATGTACTTGCTACATTTATTATTTTTTTAATGTATCATAATTTGTATTTAACATTAACGATCTTGTTAATACTAAATAATGCATAATTTTTTTTTTTTATAAAGTATGTAAAAGGGAAATGAAAGTACAATTGTTCTGGCTTATAATTCCATATGGCGAAAGTGTTCTCCCTATGCATATTTAGATAGGTGGTTCTCCTTGCCTGCCCTTTGATCCCTATAAATGTGCCCTTTATGTAAAAATTATCCCCCGTGCATTAACACTATCTTTTTACTCATTCTCCATTTAAAAAAAATTAAATCAATGTTTAAATAATAATTGTACATTGGTAAAATTACCTGTGTTTATAGGTTTAATTTTAATTACTATTACGAATGTTTACTTTGTTATGGCTATTCTCAACAGATTAAATTTTTGGGTGAAGATTGGGTATATTAATGAATTTTTTAAGTAATTTTAAAATTATTTTTTTTAAATGCACCTTTAAATGTTTATTATTTTTTTATATAATTTTCCTTATAAATAATGAAAAAAAGGTTTCACAGGATTCCCACGGTCCTTGAAAGTCCTTGAATTTTTTTTTGCTAAATTTAGGTCCTTGAAAGTGCTTGAAAAACGTCTTAGGTCCTTGAAAAACTTGATAGGTCCTTGAATTTGTCCAATACTGCCGGCGGCCCTTTTTATAAAACACCCGCGGATCTTTCTCGTTCTTTCTGTTTTGTTCCCGAGCTCTCTCACGTGGTTTTTAACGCCACCGTTTCTAACCGGGCCTAGCGTCTTGGTGTCTGCCAAGCGCGCGGACCACAGCAGACAATCAATGCGTTCGGGGCGAGACTCCACTTCATCTTCTGTCGCATATGCTTAGATCTTCTTTTTTCTTATCGAAACTGGAATACTCTCGAATTTCGTAACAATATGTACCTTGTAGTTTTCAATAAATTTGCCGT